AGAGAACGTGGGTTGAAAGAATGAAGGGAGCAAAATTTTTTAGCTTTTCAGGTAGACCAAAATGCAGTGTTTCAATTAGGGGGACAGATTTGCGTTTTTTCTTTTGGCCCGACCGGATTTGTGTGATTCGATCCGTTGCTCCTAGGCTGAGCCGAATTTTTTCTTTTGGTGATTTTCTTTCTTTTGTTACGTTGCTTATTTATTTTTTTTGATTTTTTTAAATAAATGAAAATAATTTTAAAAAAATAAAGAAAAAGTTAAAATATTAAAAACAAAAAAAAATTCAAAAATTAAAAAAGTTAAATTTTTTTTTAATTTCTAAAAAATGTTTAAGGAAAAGTTAAAGTATTAATTTTCCTTAAATAAAAAATATTTTAAAAAATATTTTGAAGAAAAGTTGAAGTATCAATTTTTCTTAAATAAAAAATTTTGAAAAAGTCTTTTAAGGAAAAGTTTAAATATCAATTTTCCTCGAACAAAATTATTTTTAAAAAATATTTGGAGAAAAAGTTGAAAGTATCAATTTTTTAAAAATAAACTATTAATTTTTTTCCTAAAATAAAATAAAATATTTTTAAGAAAACTTTTTCTTTAGAGTTTAAATTTTTCTAAAATTTCATTAAATAAATATTAAATAATTCAACGATAGAACCTTTGCAAGAAAATAATAATTTTTTTGTTTACTTTTAAGGTGAGTGAATTTTCTCAATTTTTTGTCAAAAGTATTGGAATCAATTAAAAATAATTCTTAATAATTAATTATCTGATAAAATTTTTTAAGACTTAATAGATAACACGAAATCAAGCTGGTATCTTAATTTAATGGGTGTTATGAGGGTACTATAACCTTCCTCATATGTAACCGTACTCTCGGACCTAATTCTGGTTTTATAGACATTAAATATATATTTTAAAGATACCTAAATCAAGCTTGAACTTCTTTTTTAAAAAAAAAAACATATTCAATTAAGTGATCAATTATATCTAAATAAAAAGAGATTGGTGGTAACTCTTTTAATCATGTTTAATGATAGATCAACGAATCTATACATTATGATAAATAACATTGACTTGAAAACTAATGGAAAAGCAAAAAATGGTAGCTAAAGCGTTAATTTTTAAACCTCATTAAGCAAATTTAGTTTTCGCCCCTAATCAAGTATTTCTTTTACTATTTAGGCACATAAATATTGTATTTGCATTACCAAAAGAGTTATGACAAGAAAAAAAAATGCCAATAACTGTGAAATCTATTGATAAAATGTTGAAACCTTAAAGCTTTGAATTCAAAAAAAAAAATGTGTTTAGACTGCCAAGATAGGGAAAGAATGTGATAAAAATTCAACTTTAACTATTTTAAATTAAAGATTTTCAAATATTTGTATTTATTCCAATTATGAAAGTTGTGAATTGATTATGAAATTGTTAGTGTTGGGAAGTTAAAAAGGAAATGTGAGATGGTGGAGTCTTAAGAATCTTATTACCACAATCAATTAGAATTTCATGGTATTGATTTTAGTACATCTACATTACATTATTTTTTGAACAATATATGTACATAATTTGATGAATATTTGAATCTTTATTTTGATAATTTTATTTTCATCATGGTTTGGTCATGCATTTGCATCATGCAGTGAACATTTGAAGCATGGTTTAAAGTATGGCATTTGCATTATTTTGAGAATCTGGATTTTTGCATTTGCATCATTATCGTATAAAATTTTTACTCTGATAGGAAAATTTTAAACTTTTGAATCCTTGAATGAGAAAAATTTTTCATGATAAAATTTTTTTGACATTAAAAACACTCCAAAATTTAAAGTTGCGAAGCCCTTTTAAGGAGCATGTTTAATATTGAGAATGATTTATAAGACCTCAGGGTATAATCTCTAAGAATTCTCAAATGAGAATCTTGACAATTTTTTTATATGAATCCTTGAGGTTTTTAAATTAGAATCTTTGAAATATTGAAATTTTTTAATGTGAATCTTTGAATTTTGGATGTGAATCTCTCAAATCTAAATCTTTGAATTTTGCAAATTTTCAATTCTTGTAGACCAAAAAGTTTTACAAATCTTAATTCTGGCGAATTTTCAAAATTTTGCAAATATTTAAATTCTTGTGAATCTGAAAATTTTGTGAATCTAAATTCTTGTGAATCTTCAATTCTTATGAATCTTCAATTCTTACGAATATTAAATTCTAGTGAATCTCTAGTTCTTGCAAATATATATTCTTGCAAATCTTAATTCTAGCGAATTTTCAAATTCTTGCGAATTTGAAATTCTTGCAAATATGAAATTTTTGCGAAACTAAAAATTCTTGCTAATTTAAAAATTTTGCGGATATAAAATTCTTACAAATATGAAAGTTCTTGCAAATCTGAAAATTCTTATAAATTTGAAAACTTTGTGACTATGAAATTCTTATAAATTTAAATTTTGTGAATCTTTCAAAACTTAGCAAACATTTGAATTATGACTCTTTAATTTTCAAAAACCATGATTCTTTAAATCAAATTGTGAATCTTTGAGTTTCATTGCAAATTTTTTATTATGAAATTTTTAAATACTTTAAATAGTGAATCTTTTAAGTTTCGAGATTTTGTAGTTGTTGTGAAGCCAAACTTGGACATATTGGGTGTCTAGGTGTTTATGCAATTTCTATTTCATAAAAACTGTGCAAAGAAGGGTAATTGTAGACACCTTATTTTGTCATAAATTAATGTTGAATCTCGAGTTCATTTAAGTTGGGCTTTGGACCTATTCCATTTGATTTGGATTTATCATTTGAGTATTAGGCTCAGATTATATTTTGGACTCAATGCAAGCCCATTTGTTTTATTATTTTATTTATTTATTTTTGCTTTTATCATTATTTTGAAAATAAATAAAAAAGATTAAAAAAAGGATAAATTAAGTGATAAGATTTGGCGTTTGAAATTCAGAATTTCGATTAAATTCTTAAAATCTAATGTTTCTTGAAGTCAAAATTCAAATTAAAAGTGATAGGATGCTCGATTTTTTGAATTGAAATAATATCTTCATCATGTTATATAAACTGTTGCTCAAGGCAAGAACAAACAAAGTGGAAAATACAAGGGAAATCCACAAGAAACACAAAGAAAAAACTTGGCAACAATTACATAGAAAGCAACCGGCCAAAAGAGACATTTACCATTAGCCTTTTCCTCCATACTAGCCCACCATTGCCAAATCAAAAACCTTCCCTAATCAACACCACATTGCCACTGCTAGTCAGCTTAACACCTCTATCACCATCCCAATCTCAATCAAAGCCCACAGTCATCCAGATTCATCAACAAAATCGTAGCTCAGTCATATTCAAAAAACCTCCCATCCCACTTCAACCAATTACATAGAAAAGCATTGAAAAAAAAAAAAAAACTTTTTCTATTGTAATAATTAAACAGTCTGTACGTTATAATAAACAATATTGACTTGAAAACTAAAGGAAGAGCAAAAAATGGCAACTAAAGTGTAAGTTTTTAAACCTCATTAAGCAAATTTAGTTTTCGCCCCTGACCGAGTATATTTCTTTTACTATTTAGGCACATAAATATTGTATATGCATTACCAAAAGAGTTATAATAAGAAAAAAAAATGCCAAAAACTGTGACATCTATTGATAAAATGTTGAAACCTTAAAGCTTTGAGTTTCAAAAAAAAAAAAAAAGTGTTTAGACTGCCAAGATAGGGAGAGAATGTGATAAAAATTCAACTTTAATTGTTTTAAATTAAAGATTTCCAAATATTTGTATTTATTCCAATTACTCATATTTATACCTATAGTTATTTATAAATAAATTAAAAAGAGAATTCTTAATCAACATTTTTATTGTGGATAATTGCTTATTTATCAATCGAGTGATATTCTAAGATTCATGTAACAAATATAATTTTATGAATAAGTGATGCCAAATTTAGTAAAACATGGAAAAAACGAAAATTTAATTACTTGTGTTAAATGAGTTGTGTTAACATAACTTCATTGAAACAAAATTTTCAATTTTAAATCATATGAAAAAATGATAAATAGTATACTCAAATTAAAATAATTTACTTTAGTGAAAAATTTATGATTAATAAAGAAATAGATAAATAAAAATTAGTCAATTTAATTTATTAATATAAATTATCACTTAAGTTTACTTTAATAACGACTTCAATGGTGATAAAAAAATTACAAAAGCTGGTCAATATTTCAATTTAATAAGAAAATCATTAATTATTAAGCATAAAATAATTAATTAAATAAATTATCAATAGTAAACATATGATTGGCTACTTACATTTTAGGAATTGGTCCTTTTATATATAGTATAGATTTCATATTTTCTTTTCAATAGTAAACTAAAGCATTCAATTCATAATGTGAACTTTTAATCATCTTCGTCTGCTATAAACAAGTAGCTATTACTTTCAACGACAAAATCTTTTAAATTCTTGGCATGAACTCAAGATTAATTTCTTTCACTTTATATATCTCTCATACGTGTGAACAGCGTTATGCCGCTACTTGACACAAGGTTCCCTCGTTAATTTCGAGTGCTGACCTGGAACCAACATGTTATGGTTTCTTACTGATCCACTTGTTGTGGAGGAAGAAATATAGAATGAGAACGCAAGTCAACAAAACTAGTGAACAACACTGCTGAAGAAATTACTAAATAAGTATTGCTCGCACGATTTCGTAGTGTTGTGTGGTGAAACTTTCGGGAATTGAACGACTGATCGAGCGACAATAAAAATATATAAACAAGTAATTTTTTTAAAGAAAGATCGTAGCACGTGAATAAAAAAGAAGGTTGTAAGTTATAAGTATTGGAATTTAAATTTTAAATTTATTGAATGTTATTTTTAAAATAATTTTTTGAATCAAAATAAATTTCAGGTTCACAAGTATAATTTAACTATATATACGTCAAGGATGATTGTTTAAGGCTATGCTTAACTGCTAGATCTGCTGATTATTTAGGAGTTAACATAAACTTTGAAAGAGAAGAATGAGAAAGTTGTTGCCATTTTATAGTCTTGGCAGAAAGAGACGTTTCAGTTTACAAAGAAAGCACAAGGTACATTTGATTTATTAGATCATCACATTCTTCTATATATGATAATTTCGTTTACTTTTTCACAGCGCTATTGTTGTTATGGTTCTTACAAGATTTTCCCATTACTTTCTTTGGCTAGAGAAACAATGCTTTTAAGAATATGAACAACAGATTTAGACTGTTGAAAGCGGAGACGGAAGAGATTAGCAGGGAGCAAAAGAGCATCAAAGCAGGTCAGTCTCAGGTTCAAGAGAAGTTCAAGGCAATTGGAAAGGAATGTGAAGAACTAAAAAGAGAAGTGAACGTAGTAATGCGGCAAAGTGCGCTCACCCATCTTCGTCTTCATCTCATGTTTAATATCTTCAAGGCAAGGGAGGACGGAGATTTGGCTAAGGCTGCCCACCTTACTCATTTGCTGCGGTGCGAATTCGTCGATAATGTAGAAGTCTTGTTCTTTAATCCTTCCGAAACTAAGAGCAAGAACTAACGAAAATTTTCTTTCTCTTTTTGCAGCGAAATCTAATACGAAGAGACAAAGAGCCGGTGGAGTGTTGACATGTATAATATATGTAATATGCATTATCGAATTTCTTACTTTTGAAAGCTTTAGACTGAAACTTCGATAAACCGGTGGAGTTTGAGGAACAAAAAAAATATCATTAGTATTCTGAGCTTGCTTTCTGTATGTTGTTTAGATTGACTTATTAATATATTATGAAATCGTTTCCTTCTTAATTCGAATTTGCACGAAAATAAATTAACAAGGTGTATGCGTGAGGCAAGCAAGCTTGTCATCGGTCGTAGCTTTTCACCTGCTCGGTGGTTGATGTTATTCTCGCCTGTAATGTGTAACATCTGTTTTCCACTAAAAAAAATGGCAACCACAATTGCAAGTGTTATTTGTAATAAATTAAAAAAGGAAAAAAAAATTGTCTTCTATATATGGTCGGTAGAGTTTAAAAATTTTAAAAATGGGTAAAAACAGACAAATTTACTTTTTTATTATATTAATTTTAATATATGTTACAAGAATATGATCATTCTAATCTCAATAATAGAGTTTTCCATTAGCATGTGAATGAGTTAATTTTTCTAAATAAAAATTAAGCCAACCTTGTCGGAAATATAATTTCTTGGAAAGCAGCGTGTTTTCTTGCTACCGCGCATCTTTTCTGATGAAATATTAAAAAAATATTAAGCGGAACACAAGGAGCAAGGTATTTCTAACAAAGCAAACCAAGCAATACAAAGAAATATGAAGGCACTTATTAATTATTATAGAAGTAATAATGAAAGTTTATTAATATTATTGGAGCATGAGGTAGGACTCCATTACTTTTTTGGGAAGGCGAACTTAATATATTTAAATACAATTTAATCTTCATAAAAGTTTGATAAAAAATAATCTTGCACAACAAAGAAATCTTGATTAGCACACCCATGATTTTTTAAGTTTAAGAATAAGTATTCAATTTAAAATTAATTAGTAATAAATAAATAACTCTTATTGTATATATAACACATGTCAAGATATTTTAGATTAGAGGATATTAGATTTCTTTTATAATCGTTTTAATACTTTTTGCATAAATAAATTTTTTTTATTTAATGAAAATATAGTAGTTGTAAACACTAGATTTTGTTCAGATATTTTCGAATAAAATTTGATTTTTAAAAATTTTTTTCCATTATTGTATTTCAATGGGCTTAAATCGAAAAATTAGTGCTCACGTTTACCTTGCAATTAGGTCACAAAGGTTCTGATGCCGATTTTTGTGTGAAATTGATTATTTTACGAAATCTCAATTTTTAACATTTGTTTTTTGGGTTTAATTTGGACCTTGCTTCTGCTTAGGAAAATTACTGATTTTGAAACGTTAAAGATTAGACATTGGTATATAATTTCATTTTCTCATTAGATTAAAAAAGTAGGTTTAAAAGTGTGATTAAAAAAAATTATGTTTTAAGAATTTTAATTGTTTAATATTAATGTGAAAAAATATTGTTGAAATATTAAAATGTTAAAATAATGTATGTATAAAATGATAAAAATTTAAAATTATAAGGATAAAAAATAATTTTATCATTCAAAAATGTTTTTTAATGGCAAACGCACCTTTAAAGAGCTTTTGCATTTGGTTTACAAAGTCAAACTTTTTAATTATATACTTAAATTTTTTTTATCTTATTTAGCATTGAGGTTGCTCTGAAAATAAAATTATTTTAGTCAAAAAGCTGATTTAGAACGTAACACTAAACGGGGCCCCAAAAAACAACGCTACGAAACATCTTTATCTTCTTCTTTGAGATAAAATTTCTGACTTCGTGTCTGGTTCAAAAGCAGTTCTGGAAGTACACGGTTCCAACGCCCGACCTAATCAGTTCACACGTCGGAGACGATTTTTTGTCTCCATTTGTTTTAGAAAACTAATACTTTCACTATTTTTTTTTTTTAACTTTATCACAACTATCAGAAAAAAAAAGAGATTTAACTCATGTTATCTATAATCTATATAAATGCAAAGATGTTGGTAAATTTTTTTCGTTGAGAAAAATGTACATCTTTATTAATTATAATTTTTCTAAATTAATTTTTTTTACATGTTAAAAAAAAACCCATCAATACTTAAGTATTCATATAAATAATTTTTATTATGTAATTTTATATATTGTAATATATATATATATATTATAAGATGATGGAATTTTCCATGGGTTCAAACCTTATCACACGTTAATTAGATGCGTGACTAGCCAAAATGGACTAAACCTAAGCATTTTTAGGAATACAACATAATTAATTAACCTAGGTCTATAAAATTTTTTGAAAGATATAATTTGCGTTAAATAAAATGGGAGCTTGCTTAGCCACTAATTAACAAGTGTGCTTTTGGAAATGTCAATCAATAAGATCTATCTTTTGACTTCGAGGATATCTCCTTCAACTCAAGCCTTGTATACGTGGAAATCTAATCTCTTATGTGTGCGAATAAACATAGGATATGTCATTATCCTTTTTTTTTTTTTTTTTAAAAGTCAACTTCATTCGTTGAATTAGGGTACAATCTATTTGTAGGAACGGTAAAAGAAAACTAGGACATCCTTCGACCAAAAACTTGTCCTTTGTGGCATGGACCTAGAACTTGTCCTTTGTGGTATGGAGCCCGTGTTTTGCTAAGTTATGAGCCGCCCTATTTCCTTACTTTTGGACATGAATTACCTTTCCTACATTGAAACAAGCCATCTTGCGTCTTCCTTCTTCTATTATAATACCAATAGGTGATAGGTCAGGACCCTTAGCCTGCAGCTTCCTCACAATAATTAAACTATCTCCCTCTAGAATTACCTTTCGAAAACCCCGTTCAAATGCAAACGTGAGTGCTTCTACTGCTGCCTTTGCTTCCACCTGAAATGGATCAGTTGCATGCATCATCCTTACAGTAGCAGCCCCCAACACAGTCCTCGTAGAGTCTCCTATGACTACCACTATCCCTCCCCCATTTTTGCTGGCTGTCAAATGCTACGTTGAAATTGACTTTTAACGTTTCCGATTCTGGTGGTTTCCATCCTTGCCCAACTGTATCATCCATAAAGGCCTATGGCTGGGCTGCATTACATTCTACAACATAGTTTCTTTTTTTTTTTTATATAAACTTCTTCATCTCCTGCATGCTTTCTCATTCTCTCCATGCAACATTTTGTTTCATTTGCCCTATATACCCCACACAGTGGTCATGCTAATCTGCATTTATTCTTGTGTGGCCACACTGCGAACCTGTTTGATCCATTCATCCGTTTCAATGAAGTCACTCTCCATTCCTGGTTCAAACCGTATCTGTCTCCATACTCCCTCTGCATTTGGGCATCTCTTGAGAGCATGAAAGACTAACTCATATACCTCCCCACACCTAAAACAAGCTTTATCCATGTTGAGCCTTCTTTTGTGCAAGTTCTGCATGGTAGGTAGAATAACATGATAACTACGCCAGAGAAGAACTTTGATCTTATTTGGCACAGTCGCACCCCAAATGAAGTTCTTGCATACACTTCGACTGTTGTTCTCATTTAGGTGGAAGTTAGTAATGTTTTCCTCCTCCTCTGAGCATAGTAACTTATAGCCATTTCTTATAGTTTAAATCCTTTATTGTCTTGCATGTACGGTGAACCCACGCTGTTTATAGGTATTCACATATGGCATTTGCATCATCCTCGTTAAACATGTTAAAAATAACATAATTTTTCCAGCTTTTTGTTAAGGCGTCTATAGGCTTTGCAACTCTACTCTCTGTATCAACATTTATACCTGACTCTTGTGGCATGAAAGTGTTGGAGGATGGTATCCATCTATCCTTACAGAGTCTGATACTCTGCTCATTGCTAACTCGCCATTTTAGCCCTCTACCAACTAGTTCTTTCATAGTCTATAAACTTCTTCACGTCAAAGAGGGTTTGCTTCCGGGTTTTGGGTCCAAGTAATCACAGTTAGGAAAATACTTAGCTTTTAAGACCTATGTTACTCGCATGTTTGGTTCCGTTTGAAGTCTCCATCCTTGCTTGCCCAACATTTTTTTGTTGAACTTCTCCATCTCTCTAAAACCCATTCTGCCTTTAGCTTTTGGTAGACATAGTGATCGCCATTTCAGCCAGTGCATTCCTTTTGGTCCACCACCTTGTTTCCACCTATAGCTACTAATAAAGCTATTGATTCCTTCGCACAAAGACTTTGGTAGCATGAAGCAATTCATAGCATAGGAGGGAAATGCTTGGAGAACTGCCTTTATGAAGACTTCCTTTCCACCGTATGACAAGCATCTATTCCCCCATGCTCGTAATTTTGCTCTGATTTTGTCCTTTATTTCCCTAAATGCCATGAAACGTTCTCTTCCTACCATCTTCGTCGAAGAATAAGTGACTGATTCAAGGACCGCTTCGGTTGGCTTGGGCTTCGTGGATTACACCATCCCTTTAAGCCTTGTCGAGTAGAGAGGATAAACCCTCACTGCAGATCAAGAATAAGTATGGAAATAATGGGTTTCCTTTTCTATAGCCTCTGCCTCGGCAGAACTTGTCAGTAATATAATCATTCACAGTAATAGAATCAGAGACTGAGGATATTCATCCCATTATAACTCGCAAGAAATACCACTTCACCATCATATGCTTTACTCATGTCAAATTTTAAAGCAAAAGACCTTGTTCAACCTGATCTCCTACTTTTCAAAAAATGCAACAATTCATATGCCACTAGTCCATTGTCAGTTATGAACTTTCCTGGGACAAACGTACTTTTTGATCCACCAATACACTAAGGAATTATCATTTTTAACCTATTAGCTAAAACTTTAGCAATTATCTTATAGAGAACATTGCATATACTAATAGGCCTAAATTGAGTGATGTGTTTTGGTTCTTTGGTTTTTGGGATCAGAATAATGTTTGTGTGATTTACCTCATTTATGCTGGTCTTCCCGTTCAGGAAATTTAAATAGAAATGAACCACATCACTACCCACAATGTGCTAGTATTTTTTGGCAAAATAAATCAGGCATACCGTCTAGACCTGGTGTTTTTGTTGGGTGCATTTTTTCCAGGGCTTTTACTACTTCCTCAGCTTTAAACTCGGCAACAAGGAGGTCATTCATTTCCCTGGTAACCTTGCTCCTAACAGCTTCGGTGGTTTCATCCGTACAGTAACACCCTTAGGATTGAAATAGTTGTCTAAAATAACTAGTGGCAATATTTTGTACCATTTCCTCCTCTTCACACCATACCCCGTTGCTGTCCTCTAAGCCTATAATCGTATCGTGTCACTTCTTTTGAGTTTTCTTTGCATGGAAAAAGA